CTAAACCGCTCAGCTCTGCCACCTGCTGGTGAAAATGCATGAATGCAGTCTCCTTAACATCTGAACTCAGGATTGTTTTCCAAACTCGGTGAATCATCCTAATAAAAAACCGAATATTATTGTTATTTTCAGCCCTGCTGACACATTGTGCAGCTCTTCTAGTCAACCGCTGTCTTTTTTAAGTGTTTGCTTCTGAAACTGTTATTTTACAGGCTTCTAACGGGTGTCCGTAGCAACCCAACTCATGTGTTTTGACAGGTGCTGGTATCCTGATATCTCATGATGCCACTCGGCTGCTGGAGTACATCGACAATCAGGGACAGGTTCATGTGATTCAGAAGTACCTGGAGAAGCCTCTGCTGCTGGAACCCGGCCATCGCAAATTTGACATAAGGCAGGTTTTTTTTATGTCTACTGAAATTTTACAGATCGCCTGCGTGGCTGTGCTAACTGAAGTTGCTCCTTCTGTGGCGCTGGTAGGAGCTGGGTGCTGGTGGACCACCAATATAACATCTATTTATATCGAGAGGGGGTGCTACGGACTTCGTCGGAGCCCTACAACAGCTCAGACCTCCAGGACATGACCAGCCATCTGACCAACCACTGCATTCAGAAGGAGCACTCCCAGAACTACGGCCAGTACGAAGAAGGGAACGAGATGTTCTTCGACGACTTCAGGCTTTACCTCCTCAACGCTCACGGCGTCACCCTGGAGACCGCCATACTGCCACAGATCAAACACGTCATAAAGTAAGTCCATCACTGAAGACTGAGATGTCACTAGCTGTAGCGTGCTAATAACCATCAGCTGTGCATTACTGGGTGGGCTGAGCAATCAGAAGGACTTTTTATGTTCTTCCAAACGCTTTTGGACTATTTGTGCTCGTCATTTAGCTAAAACTCCCCACCATTCTTCCTTTTACACTCCAGGCCCAGACTGTGGTCCGGAGACGCCTCTGCATTAATGATCCACTCGATGAAGCTCGACTAAATTTCCTCCTCAGTTTGGGCGTCACAGATACAGATCCACCAAACTAATTCATGTATTCACTTATTTGGTGAATCTGGAGTTTGTAGTTAACTAGCGTCAGATCCAGGAAGGATGCCCAAACATCTCAGACTCCGAGAGGATTTGTATTTCCTCCATCCAGTCCTTGGCCTTCCCGGGGGGTCTCCACTCTGTGGAAAAGTGACTGGAAAACCTCCAGAGAGACCTCCTCTCTAAAGCTGAGCCCGGCTACCCACGGAGGACGCTCATTTCAGCCGTTAGTATCTGTCAGTGATGGAGGACGATCATGGGAAGTGGGTGATCTCACTTAGTGGTAGGAGAGCGGGTCACCCCCTGGAGGCCCGATCTGTGGAGAGAGCTCATCAGTGAGACCTGGTGGCTCCTGGGCTCAATAGAGTCTGGGTCGGGTGGCAGGTGAAGCCGGGACCCTGGGTGTGCAGATCCTCATCCATAAGCTCATTAATAATTAGATTTATTCACATTTTGTTTTCTTTACCGTTTTATTGAGTCAGAAATAAAGTTTTTGTTTGACAGGAGCTGTCTGACCTGCATCGAACCTGCAATCAGCACCAAGCACCTGTCCTACCAGAGCTTCCAGCTGTTTGGATTCGACTTCATGTTGGACGAAAACTTCAGAGTGTGGCTGATTGAGATCAACGGAGCTCCAGCCTGTGCTCAGTACGTATGGTGAACCGTCCTTTAGCTTAAAGCTTCCCTGGAGGTTTAGTCCTCTAGAGACCTGTAATAATCCACCAAAAGGCTCGGTCACAAATAATTACCCATTAGGATTATGGTGTAATCTGGTCTTTTTAAAGCTCCTATCAGCTGTAGAAGAAAACAAATGTCCCTTCTTAAAGAGCAAGTCACCCCCTACCAGAGTATTACTCCACTCCCACTTCCTGTTTGAAAAATGCAACAAATGCTGTTGCTGAGTAGATCGAGAGGGCGGAGCCGCTAACAAATACACACACACACACACACACAGGTTCACAACGACATTGTGACATCATATGGTACCAGCTAACATTCTAGGGTACCTCTTAGCCAATAGCGATGGCAGATTTAAATTCAAATGCAGTGCAGAGTTTTTACCTGACAACGGCACAACACTGCCAGTTTTAGGCAGAAAATTCAAATTTTAACTAGAATGCACTAAAGTGCAAAATTATTGACGACACGTGTCTGCAGCACGTTTAGACACACATTTATATAGTTTATCAGAAAACAGGGTATCCGCGAGTCCTTAAAAAGTCTTAAATTTGCTTTTCAAAATTTAAGGCCTTAAAAATCCTTAAAAATTACAAATAATCCTTAAATCCAGTTTCCAAAGGTCTTAAATTACCAAAGGCCCACTAAACAAGATTCTTTTATTTCTATAAACATTTCGTGAATTTCTAGTTAGTCTTCAGCTTTTTTTGTGTGTGATGTTGGCGTAAGCGGAACCGTACACATTCAGCTGGTTGTGAAAGGGGGCTATTTTTAGATGAGCACATTAGCTGGTTAAGCTAGTGGGAGCTTGCACCAAGGGGAAGTTTAATGGTAACTGGATGGCTAATCCCACGTTCGCGACGTGGTTAGGACCGATTCCAGGCAATAGCTGGAAATTATAGCTTAAATTTAATTTTAAAAATAGCTTAAATTTGGTCAAAGTGGCCTTAAAAAAGGTCTTAAAAAGTCTTAAATTTGGTTCCCTTAAACCTGCGGATATCCTGGAAAAAAATAAGTTGATTTGGGGGTGACTTGCTCTTTAAGGAAATCGTATGTTCATCCCCAACAACGATAAACATTGTTCAGTGTTCTACAGAAAAACTCACGTCAATAAAAATGTAAGTAATTCTCTAAATGAATGCTTCTTTTTACAGGAGAAGTTTGATCCACGGTCCCTCGCGCAGAAGCCACTTCTTCTGATGAGGTTTTCTACTCCAGTTCGTAACTTCCTCGAATCACATCGATGCGCTGCGAGTTTCGTGCACGTGTGCCGAGTCATGAAACCGTTCGGAGCCAACGAGCATCGGACTTTCAATGCATGTTAAAAGTTTAGTCGCTGTAATGAATGCGTTAAGTCACTACTAACTCGTCATTTTACAAGCATGTCCGTGAAGACGGGTCTAACTGCTGCCACCTAGCTGTCAGAGCTTGAATTACACCAAACAAAAGAAAGTAAAGTTTTTTCGTGTAAATTCTCAGTAAATAAAATCTACACGTTGCACTAGCGGTGTAGATTCTGCATCATAAAACAAAATATTATGATATTTCAGCGTGTGGATATTTTCTTACATCCTTGCAGTTGCTGCGCACCGTAGCGCGTTCCTACACCCGTAGTTCGGTTCCTCTGGTCTGAATCTGTTCTTATTTGTGTTTATTGGAGTTCATTCCCTTTGGTTCAGTTTTTATCACACAGAAAACAAAAGATAAACCAGGTGGGAATCTGCTGATTGTTTCTGGGCGGAGCCTCCTGCGTCGCAGAATCAACACAAACCTGGTTACAGGGCGGCGTTTGGCTCTAACCTCCAGATTAAAAGCTTCTGTTCTAGACTTTGAGTCATACATCTTTGTTGACTGGGTTTACGGTCGGAGTTCAACGCATCTGGTTTTTTGTTTGTTTACCTTTTACAGGAAGCTGTATCCAGAACTGTGTCAGGGGATCGTGGACGTGGCCATCTCGACCGTGTTTACCCTCAGCAGCGAGTCCTCGTCGGCCTCCTCTTCGCCGTACTCTTCCTCTCCGTCTTCTGTGTTCTCCACCAACTCCTGCTCTTCTCCCAAACTCAGAGGACCTTTGCACGTGGGTCCGTTTACACGTTTGTGAGCTCCCCCCCCAAAAGGAGCAGAAGCCTCCAGAAACTTGAAGCATTAAAAACCTTCACTTTCCTGATTGTTGCTGTCATAACTGAGGCCGAATCCTAGATCCAATGTTGGGCTTTCTGAATAATGAAGGGACCCCCCCAACCCCACCCCCCAGCACCACCACCGCCAACTGCCAGTTAGTTTGCTTGTTAGTGACTCATGTTTGTTCTGCAACCTTTTGCCTTGTAGCTGAACTCCATCCAGTCAGACGGAAAACACAAACGGGATTCTGAACACATTGAAATTGTTTTCCTACCAGAAACGTTTCTTATTTTTTAGCTCTTTGTAGCCGACATGCGCTAAAATCCTGACGCAGGGCCGTGTTGTGTGGCCGAATCAACGGAGAGTCCTCCTAGAAAGCCTCGCACTTCTGAAGGGCACAGACGTCTCAGTAGCAGAGGAAAAACTGTGTTATAGTTCAGTTTTAGTTTTGACGAGTTTGTCAGCGTGAAGCCGTGTAGCAGCCGAACCCCAGAACAACTCCGGCTCGGTTCTAGTTAAAGAAGAAATCCACTGTGAGAGCTCGACGTGAAGGTAAACGGGTCCGATGGCAGAAATGATCCTATGGGACTGACGGGCTAACGGCTAGTCAGAACCATTCTAAAACAATGACCTTATAAACGTAAAGCTGGCCTGCATTTTGCTGCATCTACAATCAGAGTTCAGTGCAAATAACTGTTGTGCTTAAATTCACAAAAGTGCAAATTTTTCTTAAATTACATCAAACGAGCTGATGTGACATTTTGGAGGTCTACGGAAGAGGAACAGTGCCGGAGTTCGGACTTTTTTCTTAGTCAAAAATTAGATTTCTGCTAAGAACAGTCAGAATTCAGTTTCCTTAATTTCTTATTTTAATTTCCGCGGCGCCGTTCCTCTTCCGTAGAGGTCGGAGGCATTTTAACCTCGTTGGGCTGGATCTTTTGTTTAGGATTTAAAAAATCTTTCTCAACCGGTTCGTCGTCAAAATGAGATGAAATGTTCATTTTCTTGTAAATAGTTTAAAAATGTAAGCCTCTAAATGTAAAACCGTTCTCTGTGAATAGTACGTCTAAACAGGATGGGAGGACTAGCCGTTAGCCTATCAGTCACATTGGATAGCAACTCTCCAAACTGAGTCTGTTCAGGAAGGTTAAGCTGGGATTATTTATGACGTCCCACACGGGAACACTTTTCTCTGAGCTTTTCCTTTTAGAAACAGATTTATTGTCGGCTTAATAAAAACAGAAAGTTGCTTAAAAGTGACAAACGTCCTGGATGGTGACCTCTGGACCTGAGGTGACACTAAAGTTATTTTGAACTAATAGAAAACAAACAAATTATTATTTAACGTATTTGATAATAATAATAAAACAAAAGATCTCGACCGGATAAGAATTTGTAAATACGACTGAAGGAAAAGGATGGAGACTAAACGGATTGTAGCTTCTCTGCATGACGTTTGCATGTTCAGGAAATGGAAGGAACCTTCTTCAGCTGTTGGACGGGGCACTGGGGTTGGGGCTCTCAGACAGGAGCTTGTTTCAGCTACAACACCGGTTTGGTTCGGTGATGCGCTGAGGGTCGGTCACGTGGACTTATCACAGGAAGTGAGCTTGTTACGGATGTTTTGGAAACCGTGAAGCACTCCGAAGGACAGCAGGCGCCGGAAGCTGGAAGCGTCAGAAGATCTTAGTGCCTTAGAAGTCATCCAGTTAGTTTTAGAGGAAAAGACCTTCAGCAATAAAATGGATTTGTTCTGATTCTGAAGTATCGTTTGTCCCGCCCTGCCAGACCCTGATGATGTCATTTCCTTTTGTTTTCAGTGTGTGTGTATGTGTGTGTTCTCTCTCATCTTTACCAAAGATAAAACTGTCCTGCTCTTCCCATGTTTCTCCTAACTAGTCCTCGTGACCGAGGCTCATGCTTAGACGAGTGTGTAGGTTGTTGTTTTTTAAATTCTCTGCATGAATCTTCATGAGAAACAATAAAACTTCTCATTTGGATCAAACTTCAGTGACAAAACACGTTGTTTCTTGCTTAGGTTAAAAAAGTATCTAACAATTAACACAACTTTATTAAGTATTATTAAATTCAGAACTGCCTCAGCAAGGAGATGGAACGGTCCCTCAGAGGTTCTGGTCCATCCTAACATGACAGCATCAGCTCCTTCCGTAACGAGAAGCTCCTGTTCCACCACATCCCAAATGTTCTGGACTGAGATCTGGCGACTGGAGGCTGCTGGAGTCCGGTGAACTCATGGTCACGTTCTAGAAACCAGTTAGAGATGATCTGCATCATGCTGCTGGAAGCAGCATCAGAAGATGGGTCCATGTGCTCATAAAAGGATGGACATGGTCAGCAACAGTACTCAGGTACGCTGTGTTTAAACCAGGTCCAGGTGGTGCTGAGGGGTCCAGAGTGGGACCAGAACACCACCAAGGCAGAACGGATCCATGGTGGTGACACCAGGTTCTGACCTGACGGCTGAACTCCAGGCTCATCAGACCAGGAAAGGTTTTCCAGCCTCTTCTGGTCCAGTTCTGCTGATTCTGTGTGAACATAGCCTCTGCTTCCTCTTGGCCAACACAAGAGACACCTGGTGTGGTCTTCTGCTGCTGGAGCAGCTGGTGAGGTTCTACAGACCTTGGTAAGAACCAGGGTAATCATTCTCTGTAAACCCCTATCGGTGGTTGTGGGTTCAAATCCCAGTAGACCAAGTTCAAAGTCACTCAAATCCTTTTTCTCCATGCTGATGCTCCTACTGGCCTTCGATAAGTTTTCCTTCAAAGATACTTTATTAATCCCAGAGGGAAATTAGAGTTTCAGTACACACAATTCTGAGATCAGACATACATACATAGACACATGACAAGATTTGGTGACTGTGGTCATTCGCAACCCGAGTCGCGCTACCGTTATAGAGATCAGAGGGTTTATAAATGAGGATTGTGTCAGGTGGAGGAAAAAAAAGGCACTTCAGAGTTAACCCCCACAGAGAGGGCAGCTTTGCTCTGCAAAAAAACACCTCAGACAGAAATGCAACAGACTTCAGACATCACACAACATAAGTGCCCACTAGGTGGAGAGGTAGGGTTGGGGACTCTCCACACGTCAGTGCATGCAGCCGCGATAAGCGGCGCTCGTCACCTCCGTTTGGACAGGGGAGGGAGGTAGTTGGGTTTAGAGGGCACAGTGACTCCTAGAAACGATTCCATGGCCTTCACCGTCTCAGTCTCGCCCAGGCTGGGATAGGGAGACAGAGTTGCCATGGCGACGGCAGCATTCCACATTTCTTCTGAGGGGGGTTATCGCTTCAGCCTCACAGGCTCAAGGGCACCAGATTCAGATAGGAACTTGTTTTGGGGCCAGACAGAGATAATTTCCTCTCTGCCTTAAAGTTCTGTTGATCTACAACCCCTCTAGATCCAATAATGGCGTAATTAATCTATCCCAATTCGTGCTGTCCCGTCAACTCTCTCCTTGATGGTATCCACCTTCTGTGCCAGAGTCTGAATCTCAGCCAAAGTTCCAAGCTTACGACTCATCTCGACAATTATATGAGTTTGTGCGTTCACAGCGTGGTGTAATCCATCCCTGAGCTCTGGGATTGTGCCAATATTCCTCGAAAGCTCATTGATTTTCCGGTAAGCCAGGTAACCGCTCAGGCCAAACAGCACAAAACCCGACACCAACACCACGAATATCCAGACGTCTTCAGAATCCTCTACAGACAGTTGAGGGAGGCAGATCAGGTTCCACTGTTTCCAGGAGTCCATCATATGCCCAGCTGGCTCTGTCCCAGAGGGGCAACCGGGAGCCCCTTCTCCCGTTCTCATCGTTGAAAAAATTTTGTCAATCGCGTTGAGACCAACTGACCAGGTCCATTTTTAATCATTTCCAGTTTCCAGAAAAAATGCAGAAGCGCCGTGCACCCAAAGACAGCTAGAGCCTTGGGGATAAGATAGGGAGGAGAGGAGGGAAAAACGCGTCTGTACTCTCCAAGAGCCGGAAGAAGAAGTTCTGTTATTTATATCAGTATTCCAAATAAAATGTGTAAAGATGTACTTTAGAATCGAGTTCTATAAAACACCTCGTCGCCACCATGAGGTCTGACACATTTGTTGTGATCCTTCGCTGCTGAACGTTGGGAGTCTCTTGGAGAACGGGCTCCATTCGTTAGGGCGGGCGTGAACTTGATGGGTGGGACGAGAGGCTCCAGGTTTAGCTGCTCATCAGCAGAGAGACACAAGGTTGCAGAGATGTCCCACATAAAGGCAGCAGTTGACCCAAGTAGGACCCTGAAGGATTTCACCGACGGTTATGACCTGGCCACGGTCAGCTCCAGCGCAGGTGAGTCAAATCTACATTTCATCACAAATGTTCTGTTTCTGGGTCGTTTTCTGCACGTTATCCTTGTTAATACCAATTACATCACACTTGCTGCAACCTCTATGTGTCTATATGGGAATATAGCAACAGACTGGGACTTTTTCACAACTTCCGAGATTACTCCAGATGGAAGCAGAATAAATCTAATCTAGTTATGCTGAGAAAGTATTTTGTTTTTGCCAAATAAGCAATGATGGTTAAACAAATGAACAGCTCATCGTTGGTGAATCAGTGTGAGCCGACGAGCTCGGCGTGGTTTTGACTGATTGGTCGTTGGTTGGCGATTGTGATCATAATCCCCCGGGTTCTGGTATCTCTTTCTCACGAGTTTGTGTTTGGCAGCTAAAGCTGTGCAGCTCTCAGGTTGCCTGCTGGCAGTGGGAACCAGTAATCCCCCCTTTTTCAGACTAGCATTGGTGAATTGCACTCATACAAGTTAATGCAGCTTTTTTTTGTATCATGCCAAAGAAGCGGGAGCAGAAGGAAGGGCTTTTATTCCCACCCAAAGCCTCTTCACTCCCCATTTCTCCTCCTGAAAACAGATATAGGTGAGCCTGGGAGGAGCGCGGTATTGTGTGAGACCTCCGTGACCGTGGGCCTCAGCAGACGGAGCAGGGCCTACCCCTCCCCGGCCAGGAGACGCCACCGCACCACCTTCAGCCACAAACAGCTGGAGCAGCTGGAGGTGGCCTTCAGCCAGAACCAGTATCCTGACATCTACTACAGGGAGGAGCTGGCTCGCGTCACCAAGCTCAATGAAGCTCGCATCCAGGTGGGACACCGCCCAAGTGTCTGGGATCAATTGGGAATTTTACAGTTTTCAATAGGAAAGATCTGTCTATCTCCCTGCTTATAGTCCTCTGTGTTAAACCCCTGGAATAGCTGCTAATCCAAGTTAATCCTGGTTAGAAAACACTTTGCAGTTAGTTAAGATTCAAAAGTTTTGATGTTGTTGGAGCTATAAGACATAACGAAATGACTAGGTGCAATAGTTCCGTGCAGAGGGATAAATAAAAACACAATCTTTCCTAAAGTTTTCCATTACAGCTCAGTGACGCCCCCAAGGGGTGGCCAGGGCCACACCTAGAAAATTGCTGGCCACCCCAGAGAGGAGACCAATGTTCTTTCAAGAATCACACAAACTATAAACTCATATTATTTGATCAGACATAAATATAAAACCCAATAAAAAATATACAAATAAAGAGTGAATAAATAGTCAGATTTTGTAAGTATTTTTTTCTCCTGCTCTTCATTTTCTAAACAAAAGTTTAAATCTGTAGTTTTTCTGAAGTCAGCGGTTAAATTGTTTTGAAAACTCTACAATAAATTTTTTAATTATTTTCAAAATAACTGTTTGAAAAGTTATTTTTTTAATGTTGTGTTCTTCAAAGTTGATGCAAGCGTGGTGGATGCATATTGTTTATGAATGCACAAGAATAAAGGAGCATGCAACGCATCGGCACAGGCTAAACTCTTCTAGTTACCTCACCGACCAATCTGGTGTGCCACCCCTGAAGTTTTCTCCGGCCACCCCTGTGAAATTATCTGGGGGCGCCACTGCTAGTTACCTGAATTTGGGCGGAAATATGCATCAAAAAAGTTCCTTCACAGCAGAAAACCTAAAAAAAACAATGTTCTCCAGGTTTTATCGCACTTGTCCTTTCTCTAGCGTTAGCTTACATGTGTAAAACGTCTTTGGCTAGTGACAAACTCGATTTGTAGACTTGAGGAATGAAGCTATTCCAGAACCTGATTCGTCCCACAGCAGGACAACGACCCAAACACGTCTCCAACCCGAGACCTCGCATCCAGACTTCTACGAAGTGATCTCAAACCTTTGAGCCACAGCAGAACTTTGGCTTAAAAGATCTCAAAAAGCAACACACCCCAGCCCGGCTCTGCAGAAACACAGGAACAAAAGAACCCGGAGCATCTAAAGCCCTGCAGGCCTAATTTTGATAATGGCCTCTATGGAACGGTTCTAAAACAGAAATAGCATCATTTGTCTCACATTCACCCAAAAAAAACATCCCTAACCCAAAAGCGTCTGGGTAAAAATTCCTCTGGACTGGCGAGGTAAAAGCAGAACCATCTGGAAGGTGTGCGTCCCGTTCCACCTGGAGTCTTGACACCATCACCATAGCAACAGTTAGACATGGTGGAGGTAGGGTGGTGGTCTGGGGCTGCTCTGCTGCTTCAGGACCTGGACCACTTGCAGCTGATGGAACCATGGACTCGGCTCTCCAGCAGAACGTCCTGAAAGAGAACGTTTGACCTTTGACCTTAAACAGGACATTCCTGCCACAAAACCCTCCAGCGTGTCCGAATTCAGCCGATTCTGTGAGGAACCGCCATGGTGATGTGAGACTTGTCCCCAGTTCTCACACTGGATCCCGTTGTTGCCTCCACAGGTGTCGGGTTAGAGGAGATGACTTCAGCTCACAGAACCGGGTTGGTTTGGGCCGCTTTGTTCATTTAATAAATCTTGTATTTGCTCAGGTTGCAGTTATTGGCTGATCTGAAACATGTAGGCTAAAAAAATCAAAAACAGTAAAAGCGTCAGAGGAAAAAGACTTTTTGGGTTGAGACTGCTTCTTGGTTCTGCTTTAACCCGAAGCCTAAATGCCTCCATTTGTGTTTCAGCAGGTTTGGTTTCAGAACAGAAGAGCCAAGCAGCGCAAGCAGGAGAGGGCTTCACAGAACCTTCTCCCAGTGGGGGGGTTGCCCGGCCACAGGGTGATGCTGGGGGGGGTGCACGTCCAATCGTCTGGTATGGCTCGACAGTACTACCCTCAACCCCTGGCTCACATCCCCCGCTTCTCCTCCATGTTGCCCTCTGGGGCGTACTCCCGCCACCCCAGCCCAGCCAGTCGCTGCCCCTGCCCCAGCGTCCTACCACAACCCAGCCCCCAGGGTCAGCACGACAACTGGTACAGCCCGCTGCGGGGCAACCTGGCCTCGCCCATGTTCCCGCTGGGCTCCATGGAGCCGGCTTCGCCCTGGAGCTAAGGAGTGCGTAGACATGTTTCGAAAAGATACCAACACGGATCCTTTAGACTTTTATGTGCGTGTTTAGTTTTGCTGCTACGGCAACAAAAAAAGGCTTTTGATTTAGAAAACAACTCGTCTTCCTCTGACGTCTTTATTCACTTGTAATAAAACTGTTTTAAAGTAGAATTCTGAAAGTTACGGACATCTAGAGGTCAAAAGTACACGTTTTTATCGAACACTGAGAGTATAACAGCAAGCATTTCGTGAGTTTCAACGGCTTTAATATTGATTAAAGATCAAGTCACCCCCTACCAGAGTATTACTCCACTCCCACTTCCTGTTTGAAAAATGCAACAAATGCTGTTTCCTAGCAGACCGAGAAGGCGGAGCCACTAACACACACACACACACGCTCACAACGACATTGTGACATCATATGGTACCAGCTAACGTTCTAGGGAACCTCTTAGCCAATAACGGTGGCAGATTTAAATTAGAATACAGTGCAGAGTTTTTACCTGACAACGGCACGACACTGACAGTTTTAGGCAGAAAATTTAAATTTTAACTAAAATGCACTAAAGTGCAAAACTATTGACTACACGTGTCTGCAGCACGATTAGACACACATTTATACAGTTTATCAGGAATAAAATGTTGATTTGGGGGTGACTTGCTCTTTAAAGACCATCTTTTTTTCTGATAATCTATATAAATGTGTGTCTACTCGTGCTGCAGACACTTGTAGTCAATAATTTTGCACTTTAGTGCTTTTAAGTTAAAATTTAAAATTTCTGCCTTAAACTGTCAGTGTTGTGCCGTTGTCAGGTAAAAAATCTGCACCGTATTCTAATTTTAATCTGCCACCGCTATTGGCTAAGAGGTATGCTATGATGTTAGATGGTACATTATGATGTCGCAATGTCGCGAGTGTGTGTATTTGTTAGTGGCTCCGCCCTCTCGGTCTGCTAGGCAACAGCATTTGTTGCATTTTTCAAACAGGAAGTGGGAGTTGAGTAAGAATCTGACAGGGGTGACTTGCTCTTTAATGAATCTCCTCTTTAAAGAGCAAGATTAACTAAAGTGCCAACTTATTGACTGAACGTGTCTACAGAGCAATTAGACACTCATTTATATCAAGAAAAAAAGTTGATTTGAGGGTGACTTGCTCTTTCATTAAGAAATGTAGACTTGTTTTTCTTTCAACTATGATCGGTCTCTGAGTTCCACATGCAGGCTGAACGTATTTGTTTTTTTCCTGCTCACCTTTTTCTAAACAAGTTTAAATCCGTAGCGTTTCTGAAGTCAGCGGTTAAATTGTATTTAAAAATTCTACAATAAATTTTCTAATTACTTTCAAAATGACTGAAAAGTTTTTTCAGAGTTAAGCTTTGTTTAGTTGTAATCAAAGCAGAACAAACACCAGGGTGGAGAGCCAGGTCCATTTCACTCGTATTCCTACAGGAACATTGTTGATCATAAAGAAAGACGCAAGGATCACAGCTGTCCCACGTGGTGTCACGAGTTTAATCCGTCCAAATGGATCCCAACAGCAACAACATCACAGGTGTGCAACGGACAGGATTTTATTTTACATTCTGAAATGTTCAAATATCTGTTTTTATTCAACAACCAGAACTGATTGAAGACAAGACTGAATGGCAAAAATAGAATTTATCCATATGAAAAACTAGATCTCAGGAAAATAAGTATTCCACAGATGGATTCAGCAGAATTAATGACGGATTTTATCCTTTTTCTGGTGAAAGGCAGCGAACATCTGAAAGTTTACGTTCAAGTACTTCACCGACACCGACGTGGCAGATGTGTGCTTTCAGTAAGAGGACCTGCAAAGTGCAGCGTGGCTCGGCGTTCTGCGTTTGTGAGACGGATTCACCTCCAGGGAGGTCGGCATCGATCTACAACGGGATCCGATCGGAAAAGTGGAAACAAAACACCGGAGAATGGAAAAAGGTGTCTACCGCCAAAGGAGGTGGCACCCCCGCCACGCCAGTAGCTGTGTGTGTGTGTGTGTGTGTGTGTGTATGTGTGTGTGTTTGAAATGAAGTGGTCCGTTTAAACATTCCCTCAAGTGCTGCTAAATGACTCGACTAAATCACCCCTACGACGACACGAGCCCACATTCCGAGTCAGTCCACAGACTTGTTTACCTTTTGAGACTCTGGTGCTGCTGCAGATCACGGCGCTGAACGTGGAAACCCGACGAGCAGCGAACCTTTGTAACATTCAGTCATTACAGACGTCTGCTGTTGCAGTTTGTCAGAAATAAGTTCTGCTGGGAAGTTTTAGAGCGACATCTCTAAAGGTCACCGACAGAACAGAAAATACGTCTTTCATGGAATTTACCAAGAATTAAACACAAAATTAAATTTAGATTACCTCAAACTTTGGCGATTTCAAGAAATCAACAAAGCAAACGGTGCAAAAAGTGTCTAAACTACAAGAAATGATCTGAAATGAGGCATAAAAAGTTTTTGTTTTTTGAGATGAACCCACCAGCGGTGCTCCGACTCTCCTGTATGAAAGATCAGAAGAGGACCGAGCCCATGACTGATTGTGAGATCTTTCCTGACGAGGTGCAGCCTTGTCTCCACGTATGCCTCCTGCCAACATTTGGCAACTTCTTTTGTCGCCGCGGATACAAAGGAAGCTAAACACGGTTCTACTCCAAGGATCTGGCAAACTCTGCATAGTCTATGTAGCCATCATTGTTTTTGTCGTCGTCCTTCAGGACGTCATCGATTAGTGCAATCAGGTCCTCCTCTTTCATCGGCTGGCTGTTCTCTCCTCTCTCCTGCAAGACAAAGTAGGACCAGTTTATTAGGAGTCTCGTTCCCATAGAAACCATGTCACTGTTTTTTTAACAAGGTCACTGAGTCACACATACATGCTGAATGATCCCCATCCTGCAGTAGTCGCAGGCAGGAGACTGATCAGAAATAGCCGATCTCTTGCACGTCACTTGAAAAATTCATGGCCCCGCCCACCTTGGCTTGAGACGGAGGGAGCTAGTAGAAGCTAACCATGGCAGAACATGTTGGCTCTTGTATTATTTGTGGAGATAAAACGTTGTTGCATTTTTTAAACCAAGTAAATATGTTTTATGGTTTTTTTGACTTTTGAAGGCAGCAGACGTCATGTTGCTGTTAGCCAATCAGAGCTGAGATGTTTGCATGTAATAAATAATAATGAGCAAGACTTGTAATCTGATGTTTTTGGGTGTTTTGCTCTCATTACACGTAAACACAAGATCATAACACCCAGTTACACGGTCTGTTGCCTTGGTAACGGTGTGTGTGTGTGTGTGTGTGTGTGTGTGTGTGTGTGTGTGTGTGTGTGTGTGTGTGTGTGTGTGTGTGTGTGTGTGTGTACGAACTAGCCTCTTTAGTTGTGGCGCAGCTGCTGTGATTCTTAAACATGTTTTACAAGAACGTTTCTCATCAGAACAACATTTATATCATCTTGTTATGAAAACTGTTCTTGATATTATAACACGCAGGTCCTTTCCCTCGCACTGACAGGAAGACGCTTCCGTTTTGGACAGGAGAGGAAAAACAAACCTGTGGAGCATGGACCTACTTCTTTGTGTACATGCGTGATGGCTGTGGCTAGCTCCAGACCGTCCAAAAGGTCGTTTCCATCGTAGTCGTGCATCTTAAAATAGTGCAGCTGGAGTTCCTGGGGCGTCATGTCTTTCTCAGGTTTGTCTATCACTCCCTCCAGATGCTCCATGATGTGACTGATGACACAGAGAGAAAAGCAAACAAAACCACAGCTTGTATTTGCACAGAGTCAACACTATTTGTGGTTGACGGCAGCAGAGATCACTGCCCTGAATCATCGGTCAGCGTGCCGGAGGCATCACTCACTCCTGGTCTTGGACCATGTTTCTGTCCAGGCGACTGTGACCAGATATGCGAGCTGCCCCTTCTATTACAGGTGGAGGCTGGTGGTGGTGAGGAGCCACCTGGGACTGAACATGCAGCTGACAGCAGGCCAGGAGGAGGAGCAGAGCTCCCCAAGACAAGCTACGCCTGCAGCTTCTCATTCTGTGATGGATAAAAAGAGACATAAACAAAAAGATGAATTCAGTTACACATCCCCTGGGACTGTAATCACACCTGTGCGTCATGTTTCAGCCGTGTAACAACGTCAGGTAACGTAAACATAAACAAATCACAAAGAAGTGCGCGAGCTTAAATAACAATCACGTTTCTCTTTTCTAACAGGGAGTATGCCCAAAATGAGCGAAACAACGAAATAACGCTAGCTTATTGGCTACCATAAGGATGTTTTGTGTTTGTTTCACGGCCGTTTAAATAAACAAAGCTTGATAAAAACGTCAATAATAACCAGACTTGTTCTGCTAGAGTTAGTAAACACACGACGTTGTTCCCACCTTTATAAAATTCGCGTCTCCGCTGGGAACGCTTGTTGTTTTCAGTCAGTCGCTGTTAGCACTCTGAGCATTTACGGACCAACTGGCTTGCCGTAGAACCTCTTGTACACGACATCTCAATTGTGATTGGTCAAAGAAAACAAAGATAAAATAAGTAAAGTAAGATGAATCACTACTTAACGTGGGAATTCATCAAAAGTACAAACACAGCCCGTCTTTAGCTTAACGCCACTACAGTGCTTTACTGTAAGTGCGTCAGTTTAAAGCATCAGAAGATGGATTTTTGTTTCATAGATAGTCTAAAATCACTTTAAACGAAACATAACGTAGTAAAACAAACTACACGTGTTTCTTATATGTTGTTCATATTTGAAATCACTGACAAGAGTGAACAACATTTAGCTTTCTCAGTGAAAAGTCATTTATACACGCTTGTAGAGAGAGTAGTGGTTATTTATGGAGTGTTTATTTTTATGTTTATGCATTTAGCAGACGTTTTTGTCCAAAGCGACTTAAAAGTGAACTATCTTAATGAAATAGACCAGCTTTGACGTGGCCTGACGTCAAAGGTGGGCGTGAATCCGCGCTGCTCAGCTGTCAGATTGAAACGACGCAGGGAAAAACAAACACTCCTGTGCGGTGGACGGCTGGGAGGACTGGCAGGCTCCTTTTGTGTCACGCAAATGTCAACCTTCCAGAGAGAAAGCGATGCATCCAAGTCCCTGTTCAAGATGCTGGAGGTTTTTGTTCATGTCATAAGTAGCTGATAGAGTCTCAGTAGTGGACCCCCCTCGTGTTTTAGTTCTGTTCAGCTGCTGGTGGGTTAGTGGTTTCCTGATCTTGACCTTAGCTTTGACCCCAGCTGTAGCTCCTGGTTTGTTCTTCTTTGGACTAAAAATATGAAAAATGTATATATAATAAATAAATAAACGTCCACAGACTTTACTGCTTTTCTCTGCAGCAAACAGTTCAGTTCAAAGTGAAGCAGATTGTTATTTATTTCACCAGTCTTGAAAATAACACGAATTCCAGATCAACAGAAAAATAAAGATTAAACTAGTCTGTTTTGTTTTTGTTTCTTTGAGCTTTTTTGCTCTTACTATAGCAAAATTCTTATTAATAGGAGGAAACTGCTCCAAACAAACTCCCCTCATTTGCATGTATGCAGGCAGCTTTGCTGCAGCTCTAAGCCATGCCTGATCCAGTTAAAGTGTTAATGGAAAAAAGATTAGGGACCAGTTTACACTCTGCCTTGAGACAAATCAAATACCTCTGAAGGGTTTTTGTTGTTTCAACAGATAAACTACAGACAGAAGACACTAAACCTAAATAAAGGCAATGACAAATAAAATGTGATCAGATAAAAAATAAAGTATTAATATTATTATTATAGAAATATCCCTTATTGACAAACGACATTCACTTATTTTTCTACATTTGCAGAGTTGACAAGTTGAAAATGATCCTATTTTGTTTTGTTTAACTGTAACACCAAAAGGAGTTTACACGTTCACAACGCCACTAATAACACAACCCTTTTGGGAAATCCTCTCTGGTTCACGCGCGGCTTTTCTACGTATTCGTCTTGGTCTCATCTTGTGAAGTTGCACTGGAATCACACATAAAATAATATCATAACAACTTGTTAAAATACTCTGCAGTATTTACCCAACACGTTGAAATGTGCCCAAACTGATTCCATCTGAAATGTGTTTTACGTGTTTAGAAATGTCAATGATCATACCTTTATTATGTAATGCAATAACAATATGCCAGTAAAAAAAATAAAACAGCCATTGCCACCAGTCGATCCTCCACCAGGGGGCAGCAGACCCGAACAGGACTGGGTTTCTGAAGAAGGCACTAATCTTGATACTCCATCATATATTCATATTAAACCCGTTTTCCATGAGCAAAATGCATAATTCTCACATTCTTTACATGTTATTCTAATATATTTATTTGTAGACGGCATTTCCACATATATGTTAATTTGTTTAGGTGTTTTCTTTCTTTTTATTTCTATGATCCCTCCTGCAGCCGCTCCACCGACCCACACCCTCCTCCAACCCCTCCACCCTCGCAGACAGATAACGCTCCTACTCCTCCTTTCAGTCCGCAGTCACACCTATCGTGTCCGGGGACTACAGCCACCACCACCGGGACAAAGCAGCCATGGCGACCCGGGTCTCCTTCAGCCAGGTTCGGCTGGAGCAGGAGCTGGAGCGGTACCGAGCCGAGTGTCAGTGGGGCAAGATCCTGGCCGTGGTGGAGCAGATGCACGCGGCGAAGATCCACGAGGACGGTGAGTGGCTTCACCTGGAGGGTCACCTGCGCTGCATGCCCCCAAACTCCTGCACGTATTTGAACTAGAGAGTTATTGAAATTTCCTGGATATTTCAGTCTGTTTCCAGAAATGAAATATCAACTTTCCGGTTTCCGAAGAGCTGATTGGTGGTGAAACTATGGAAAAGTTTAATGAAATAATAAACCAGCTCATGAGGTTGGATACACGCAATTAAAAGTCTTCAGTGGGAGAATAAACATGCGTTGCAGCATTTATTACACCGAAGTTGGACTTTGCACCAACAATACCTGAACTTCCAGGTTCAACAAACTAAATAAGTCACACAGATCATGAAAGGCTGCCATTAAAAACAAAAACACAGCTGTGTGTGTCATTTAGATTTCTACCAGCAAAATGAAAAATAAACACTTCCTCTACCCTCAGCAGCCACGCTGAGGCACGTGACCAATGCACCTATCTCAGGTGAGTAAATATGGGCTCTGGTGTCCTGATGGTGCGTTCAAGTGTTAAAATGAACGCATGCTTCATATTAGGTGATCTGGCAGCAGAAACTGTACACACACACACACACACACGCACACGCACGCGCACACACACACACACACACACACACACACACACACACACACTGGGGTATGGGGTGCCATTTGTAAAGTCAAACAGTCATAATCTAACAGCAATATTTTTGGTTATTTAGCATATCGTAAGAGAAAAAATTGGGAGTTCACTTTTTTGAAGTCATATTTTCATCATGTTATTCGTGCATTTATGTAAAAGTTTCCAAATAAACATTTAGTTAGCAAGCTAAACATTTCATTTATTAAATATTTATTTCGCAAACTAAATATTTAGGTCTGATCTAAATATTTAGTTTGCGAAATAAATATTTAACTATAGTTAAATATTTATTTCGCAAACTAAATATTTAGGTCTGATCTAAATATTTAGTTTGTAAAATAAATATTTAATTCACTAACTAAATATTTAATCTGTAAATTAAATATTTATTTTCCGAAAAAATTTTTTTAGATCCCAGCTAAATATTTATTTTGGAGCTAAACATTTAGTTTGCAAAATCAGTATTTGGGAAATAAATATTTAAGTCTGACCTAAAAATATAAAATATAGTGTGGAGGTAAATAACATTGTGGAAAATAAATATTTAGCTGGTTAAAACTGGTTTTATCTCCGGTTCTATTCTTCTTCAGCCAACACGTTGGACATGTTCAGAAGAATAGAACCGGTGATAAAGCCAGTTCTGGTTCGGAGCAAGAATTTATAAAGAAGTTAGCGAGATCCAGCTTTTATTTTGGTAACCAACTTCCGCTTATTGGCAAGCGAATTTGCATATTATCTAAATGACCACCACTAACACAGGCAAGTTGGGTGAAGTGTCTTGCCCAAGGACACAACAGCAGGATACCCCTGGCGGGAGCTGGAATCGAACTCATGACCATCCGATCATGAGGCAACAGGTTGACGGTCGATGATCCGGAAAGCTGGGACCACAGTAACAAAGGTTACTTGTAGTAACACGCTTGGTCATCATGGATTAAAATCCAGCTGCATTCATAGGGTCCCTCTGTTTAAGCCAGCACATGTCCAGGATTAGGAGAAGGTCATGTGGTCAGATGAGAGCTAAATATAACTTTTTGGTATAAACACCACTTGCTGTATTTGGAGGGGGAGGAACAGTGAGTTTTATCCCAAGAACAGCATACTCACTGTGAAGCATGGGGATGGAAGCATTATGCTTTGTGGCAGCTTTTCTGCAAATGGGACACAACAACTGACCCGTATTAAGGAAAAGGACGAATGGGGCCATGCATCATGAGATTTTGCGCAAAGACCTCCGTCATCAGTGAGAGCATTAAAGATGAACCATGTCTGCAACACATAGCCTAGGCAACAAAGGAGAGGTAACGCAAAAAGCATTCCACGTTTCTGGAGTGGCCTAGTCAGTCTCCAGCCCTCAGTCCAATAGAGAATATTTGGAGGAGTTTGAAAGTCAGCTTTGCTCAGCAACTGCCCTGAAACAGCCCTGCTCTACGTAGAAGATCAACGTGGAAGATAGGGCCAAAACAGCAACTAGTGTAAACGTGGTCAAGACCTACAGGAGACCTTTGACCTCTGTCATTGGCAACTAAGATTACAGAATTATTATTTTCTGCACCATTTTAGAAATAAATAAACAAACAATATGATTTCCTGGACTTTTTGTCTCTCACAGCTGAAACGCACCTATGATGAAAGTTACGGACCTCTCTTCTGTCGAAGTGGGACAACTTCCACAAACAGCGGCTGCCAAATTCTTCTTTGCCCCACTAAGTTACTTGTGCGGTTTTGTCTTTGACCAAGTTTCTCCCAAGTCTTCCCCTGGACTCCGAATATTTGTATTGATCCCATTTATTTAATGTCTCAACAACTGAACTTCTCACTTCTTCATATCTTGGCTCCTGTTTGCACTAACTGTGTCGCGAGGCTCCTCCCCTTCAGAGGTAGCTTTAGTCTCACGTGTGCTGATAGTAAGAACTACCAAATATGTCTAAAATACCAGTGCATACACACACACGGCTCCAAAAGCTGGCTGTGGAACACACACACACACACACACACACACACACACACACACACACACACACACACACACACACACACACACACACGTGGAGCTCAGAAGTTGTGTGTTTTATGTTGGTTCAGTAAATGTGGGTGTCTGCGGTTGCTATAAAAACACATGACGACTCAGAGCCATAAAAGGTCAGACCTGCTCCAGAAACTTGTTTCACCTGAACCTTTTATTCCCTCCACCTAGATGATTACGGGACGTTGTTGACAGCCGAGGCCCTGTTGGAGGAATGCTTGCTGGAAAACACGGATCTTTTACAGAAGTCCACTCCTTTGGTGGACAAGAGTCAGCCCAGACTCTCCAAGGCCAGAGGCTACCTCAACACCATCCTGAGCCGAGGCCGTCTCACGGTCTGTTCCTTCACTCCATCACACATGCCCAGTGTTGGGAGTAATGCGGTACAAAAGTAATTAATTACTGTAATGCATTGCTTTTTGCCGTAATATGGTAATGTAAGGCATTACAGGGAAAGATAATGGTAATATTTACTCGGTACAATTGTCAGTAACGCGGTAATTACAATGCAATTTTAAACCCAGAATCAAGATGTGGGTTTCCTAAAAATTCAAATTGCGGGAAGCCTGAAAAGAGATCCAGTATCCACATATATGACGTCATTTATGGACTCAGCTTTGCGGGCATTCTCTGAGCAGAGAGGATGCAGCAGTAATGGCTCAAATACTCCAGCTGCGTCCTGCGCGCGGCCGCTGTTATATTCACAAAATCGCTCGACCACAACAAAGTGATTCGTTGGCGGTCATTTATATCAGCCCATATTCTCTGGTACTTCATGTACTTTTCAGCTGAGTTCATAATCTGTGCCCCGGTGATTTCAACTCGTTGCTGCTGGAGCGCAGGTTTTTTTTTTTTTTTTTGCGTTCGGTAGATCCCTTTGGCTGTTTAGTTAGAAAATACGAAATCTAGGAAACAGTTTTTTTGGAAGACGGAGAAAACATGCAGCATGCAGGAGGTTAGAGAGAGAAAGGACAGGAAATTATTCAAATAAAATCAAGAAAACAAAACAAAGTGCTTGAAAAGAAAAAAGTAGGTAGATTTATCCCCAATACACATTTTTACCAGTGTAAAGCAATAATATATAAGCATTTAATATTTATACATGTGATAGAATCAGATCACCCCAGAAGTCAGTCCCACATCCAGGGCCGTATCAAGGCATTTGGGGACCAAGGCAAATATAGGCTTGGAGCCCCCACCACCTCACTCCCTGCTCAGTTAATATAAGATGGCAGCGTGCTGAGAGTACAGATTGTTGTTGCTTTTATTTAATAAACAATCATTTTAAAGCACTGTTATTATATCTGACTGTTTTTAACAGCAACCCTAGCTCAGACACCACATCACCTTCCACATATATGTCATGAGCTCACTGAGCGTCACATGACCAGATTCATATTGAAGTTGTTTTGGTGAAAGTAACTTAAAGTAATGCAAATGTAGTGTAATGCCTTACATTTTAAAATCCGTAATATTGTAATGTAATGAATTACTTTAAAGTGAGGGTAATAAGTAATAAATAATGCATTACAGTTTTGAAGTAACTTGCCCAACACTGCACATGCCACCCTGGCTGTTGCCTCAGCCCATTCCAACCACGTCTCCTGTTGTCCTGCAGCCCAGGTACTTGAACGAAGCTCTGCTCCTCATGGCCAAAGTCCACTACGTTCAGGGTCGATATCGAGACGCCCAGGGAATGTGTGCCAGGGTGGGACTGGAGGAGCTGACGCAGGATGAGCAGCCCGTCTACCACCTCCGCTTGCTGGCCGAGGCGTTCGTCATCAAAGGCGCGTGTCATTCTAATTTTGTGTTTGTGTGTGCATGTTTGTTTGCTTATAAACAAAATATCTCAGGAACCATGAGTCACGGTGTTGGGGTTCACACAGTTACCTTCTTGGGTGTGTTTTAAT